CACACTTAATCAGCATTCAAGATGATTAAAGATGCTATTTTCCCACCAGTCTACATCCAATAATGCTTTTAATTTTGGCAAATTTCTTAAAAGTGTTGAATTTAAGTCTGTCATTTACAAAAGTATTCTCATCTCGCTCAGCGTTCTTTAACAGTCCCTTTTGCGGTAATTACAGTTTTGAGTATTCGTGGATAAACGTTGGGTTTCCTGGATTTGAGCGGGTTGATCCAATTCTTCCTGTCAAAGTCAAAGCTTCATCACACAGCATGAGAAGCATCTGTGAACATCAGCTCTCTCAAAGCAGGGTTCTGACGGGTTTAAGTCTGGGCATGGCTGGGAAATTTTGACAGTTTGAGCTGGAATCGCTCTGCGATATTGTGTGAGCAAAAATATTGAGCCACACCCCTTAATCTTTGAATTCGGGTGTTTACAGTCGCATTACCGCAAGTTTATAAAAAATCAAGCCCCTATGGATGCAGTCTGCCTTTGCAAATCTTTGTGAGAGAACAGGTTGACTGAAATTGAATGTCATACTGTAATTATCTCTGTTACAGTTGATGGTGGAATGTCTTGGAGGAAAGACATTTCTGACTTGTTGCAAAGTGGAAGCATTTAGGTACCACAGCAATCCAGCCACCACAGCAGGCCATGCAAAGTTACAGAACAGGGTCGCCAGGTGCTGTTTGTAGTACCAGACCTGCTCTGGCATTAACATCAGACTTTCCACCAGGAGCTTCAGGGTTTCCATATCTGAGCAATTGATGCAATGTAACGGTAATGTGTAGCTGACCCAGTGCTTTGTACATGTAATGTACATCTCCAAAAGTTGATTCTGTTCATCTGGACGTAGCGTTTTGTGGGAGAAGAGGAAAAGAGGGCTTTGCTATCCTACCCTGGAACACCACCAAGCCATTGGTTCAGATATGTGGATGACACCTGGGTGAAAATCAAATCTCAGGACGTACTACATTTCAGGGATCACATTAACTCGGTGGACCAGCACATCAAATTCACCAGGGGGGATATGAAAAGTGGCAGGTTAGCCTTCTTAGACTGTGAGATTTCCATCAGTAATGGGGGATATCTAAAAGCTGACGTGTACCGTAAACCTACACATACGGATCAGTATTTAAGGTTTGACTCTCATCATCCACTGGTCATCAGGACGCTACAACGCAGAGCGAACACCATCCCCACTGACACAGCAGCCAGGGAGGCAGAAGAACAGCACATCAAGAAGGCCCTGAGTAAATGTGGTTATCCCAGCTGGACTTTTGTCAAAGCTGGAAAGGCACCTAAAGAAAGCTCTAGCCGATCCAGGAGAGAAGGACAACCGCTGCCCAAGCGAAACCCTGTAGTGATCCCGTACGTGTCAGGAGTATCGGAGCAGTTGAGACGCATTTTTTCTAAACACCGGGTCTCTGTGGCTTTTAAATCCCAAAACACGCTGCGCCAAAAATTGGTCCACCCCAAGGATCGGGTCCCCCTGACACAAACAGAGTAACATAGTGTACGCTGTTAAGTGCCAGGAGGATTGCCAGGATTTATACATCGGGGAAACCAAACAACCTCTGGCGAAGCGGATGGCACAACACAGAAGAGCTACCTCGTCAGGCCAGGACTCTGCAGTCTATTTACACCTACAGGCCAGTGGACACTCTCTCAATGATGAGGATGTTCACAGCCTGGACATGGAGGAACGCTGGTTTGAGCGCGGAGTCAAGGAGGCCATTTACGTGAAAAGGGAAAGACCATCTCTGAATCGAGGAGGGGGCCTAAGGGTACATCTTTCACCATCTTACAATGCTGTGATTGTAGCCATTCCCCAACTCTCTGTGAATGGTACTCATGGCCATTGATCAGTGGGTTTTGGTCAGTGGTTGTTGATCAATGGTCATGAGAATTTGCATAATTATGATTAAGGAACTGACCTCCCAGCCCATCGTTCCTTCAGTGGGCTGGTTTCAGTCATTATGCAAATGTACTGTTTATAAGTTTTGGGGAAACCTGCAGTCAGCTGAGACTGAAGAAGTCACTTGGATGAGTGACGAAACGTTTCTCCCACAAAACGCATCAAGATGTAATGCACATCTTTGTCTTAGCTGTTGATCTTAGCTGTATTTGCCTGCTTTCAGTCTTCCTTCTGTTTTGAAGAGTATCTCTGCCTTTGCCACTGTGAAGCAGCCATAAGCTGTAATTTATTCAAAAGATGAGCGCGGCCACCATAATACCACACATTGATTTTAGACATTTTGAAGTCTAAGACTAGTCCAAAAGTCTAAAGGCAAAATTAAACAATGGATATGATCTTATATGAAGCAATTTGATTGTTTCAAATTTCACTGAGTGTCAAATTAGTTTTATTCAGTATGGCTAATGTTAGCAGTGCTAGCACCAGTAGTCTTAGTTTCTGCAGGCTATTGTCCACATACCTGTGTAAAATGTGGTTGTACATTGCTTTGGTTGTGTGGATATATGTCATAGCACCCTGACACAGTCTATATAGGATTGTTCATTTTCCTGTAACTGGTTACTGTCCACCTCACAGGGAGACACACACTTTCGTCTGTTTGCAGCCCCGAGTCTTGGAAGCAACAGATAAGGCCAGTTGTGCTCTCGTAAGATAATACATCTGTTATTAATCTATCTTCTCATCACAGAACCAATGTCATTTATTTGAGCATTTTAACATGACAGACTATAGAGATTGACACGAGGCAGACTGAAGTGGAAATGAGCAGAACTGCAGTTTTGGCATTTCTGAGTTGGCTTAACTTTCCACACTTTGCAACTTCGAAGTATCCTCACTGTAGCATCAGTTGGTGAGAAGCAGTGTCTGGTTTTCACCACAGTATAGTTTGGTCTAAAGTGCTGTTTGTTTGGTTTTTGTTTTTTTTTTTGGCACGCTCACGTTGTCCTTTAAAGGATAGTTTGTAACAACAGGTCTGTTATGAGCAGTGCTTTCAGTTTTAGGCAATGTGAACTGTGAGACCTTATGTACATGGGTGTGTCCTCTCCATTGATATCAACTGGCTAAATGGCTGTTATCAGCTCTTATCAATCCCAGACCTGCTAACAGGCGGATTTCAAATCATTCAGTGGCGGTTGTCGCCCTTGTTAAATAGAAATATTAAAGCAGCGTTTCAGTCTTAAAACAATGGACTTGTGTGGTGTGAGTTTGAGGCCAGGCTTTTGGACTTTTTTTTTTTTTTTTTTTTCTTTAAATCACTCTTCACTTAAATTTTTCACAAGTTACGTTATTCAGTTACATCACATATTCAGTTACAATACATATTTTTACAGCGTACAACAGATGCTTCAAAGCTCAATTTGCTGCAGTACCTTGCAGCAACTTGTACTACTGGAGCATCTATATTCATGTCTCACTTTAAAGTTATCCAACCAGGAGGATAAATAAACCTGTTTTATTGCAAGGGTCTGACTTTACAGACATTCTTTACATCCTCTCAAATTTCATATGAACAATCCTTCAATAACAACAAGACTCCTCCCTTTATCCCCCCTAAGCCCCATCATCCCACTCTGTCACACCAGCGCTCTGCATGTTCTCCTTCACTACATCCATGAATCTTCTTTGTGGTCTCCATATTCCACAGCTTTGTTCAGTACGCCCACACTCCCTCTGCATGTATCCAGACTATAGCAGCCTTGTCTCTTTTCAAACTGCTCGACATCTTGGTTCATCCTGGTCACTCCCAGTGAAAATCTTCTGTCAGCTCAGCCCTCCTGTCTTTTGTCAGTGCCACAGTCTCCAATGCATACATCAGAGCAGGTCTTACTACCATCTTGTAAACCTTTTTTTTTTTTTTTTGCCGCTATCCTTCTTTCACAAACCACCCCTGACACTTGTCTCCATCCACTCCATCCTGCCTGCACTCTTCACCTCTCTGGTGCACCGTCTGTGGCTTTCGATGGTTGACCCCAGGCAACTGAACCTCCTCCACTTTCACTCCCTCTGCTCTTTGCACCTTCATGTTTCCACCTGTCTCCCTCTCACTCACACACATGTTTTCTTTCTTACTTCTACTGATTGGCATTCCTCTTTTCTCCAGAGATGTGACCCCTGCCGCACACCTCACCAACGCTGGCTGTGGGGTGGCTGTGGCTCAGGTGGTAGAGCAGATGAGCTAGTGACTGGAAGGTTGGTGGTTCGATCCTTGGCTTCCCCAGTCTGCATGCCAAGTATCCTTGGGCAAGATACTAACCCCAAGTTGCTTGGGGTTAGTACACAGTGCTTGTATGAGTGGGTGTGAATGGGTGAATGAGGCATGTTATATAGAGCGCTTTGAGTACTCCGGGAGAGTAGAAAAGCTATATAAGAATCAGTCCATTTACCATGTCCTGCATATATTTCTCTGCCACCCCGACTTCCTCATGCAGCACCACAGCTCCTGTCTTGGCACACTATCAGACGCTTTCAGTGAAACTCATTCTGACCTCCTCTGTACTCCATCAACGCTCTCAAAGCAAACGTCACATCTGTAAAGCTATTTCATTTCTTAATTTAAAGTTTCACTGCTGCTCACTGATCATCACCACTCTTCTTAACCAAACAACTCATTCTAACATCTTTATTGTATAGTTATCAGCTTCTATCCGTGTCGTTACCACAGCTCTGCAGATCACCTTTATTCTTGAAAATCAGAACCTGTACACTTCTCCATTTCTCAAGCATCGTGTCACTCTACACAAGACTGTGTTAAACAGTCTGATTTAAAAAGCCTTCTCTCGTAGACATCTCTATATCTCCATGGGAATCTCATCTGAGCCTTTCTGCTCTTCATAGCTGTCCTGTCTTTACTCATCCTCTACACTTCCCGATTCACTAACCTTACTCCTCATCCACCCATCAATTTGGTAATCAGTTTAAAAATGTTAAATGCAATGTTGTAATATTTTATGCTAAATTAACCTTAAATCTTCAGTTTCTGCACAACAAAGCCAACCTGCCTGTTTAGTGAAAGAACAAACTTAGGTGGTTTTGATTTGTACTGCTTTTTAATGTGTTTTTTTTTTCCATCAGAAATAGTAAAAGCCATACAATGTAGCAAACCAAAACAACATGACAAAGCTCTATACAGGAATAGTAGCTCATTCACACACATTCTTGGGTCCAGACTGATCTGTCTAGAGTGGGCAGACGCCACTGGAGTGTCCATCTTGGCAAACAAATGACTGACATTCAGTTTCATGGTTAGGAAGTCTTTTATCTTTTTTTCCCCTCAAGAAGGAGTTTGTAGGCAAAAAAGCTTATTTGTCTTATAAGCTGAGCCAAGAGGCAGTCGTCACGTGAAACTCGCACTGATATCTTCCTATGGGCTTCTCTGCGGAAAGGCTGGTTTAAATGAGTCATGAAGATGCTGTGCACAGATTAGTCAACAGGCCGACGGTTACAATTTGAGTCGAGCATGCAAGCTCCTGCTAATAAATAATGGAACATTCTAGTCAGGTATAAAACTCCTGGAAGGGCTCCGTTGCTTTTTTCCTTTTTGGAGACGTAGGTTTGAGTCCAAATAGGCCCCCAAACTAACCCTTACTTATGTTGCATCATGCTGCCATAGGTGGGAGTTTTCATTGCCGCTCATTCCTTTAATTAAAATTGAAAAAGCAAAATAATTTTGTTTGTCAAGAAAACTACAAAATCATTTAAGTTTTGTCAGTGATCAAATTGTGTTAACTCAATATTTCACAGCTAAAACACTGTATTAAATTAAAAGTGGCTCCTTTGTAGTGATCCTTTTGCGCCACACGGGGGAAGCAGCTACTTACTAAACTGACTTGGTTTTGCTGTTAAAAGCCTCAGACCTACTGTGAGGCAGTGTGAAAGTAAGGACCCCCGATAGTCTGCCTGAATACACGCAGGGACATGACACAGGTCTGTCAACAGCTCCCCTCCACTCGGTTGACAACAAAAACACGGATAATACTTTAACATTTTAAGTGCTCTAAACTTGGACAACGTATTTTCTCGGCAGGTTTTAAGTTAATAAAACAGCGGCGTTGGCATCACTTTAGGATAACTCCAATTTGGATTTTAGTAACAACCATTTTTCATACAAAATATTTCCCCCAAGAAAACAACAAGAATGTTAACAAAAGAAAATAATGCTGTGAAAAAAACATTCAAAAACAACAGTGATACCCCTTTTAAAATGCACACACTTTACACCTTTATATACGTCAATGCACTTGACTTTAGCCAAAATAAAAGCAATCTTTTCTTCTTGCTTTCAGTAATCTTGATGTATACTTTATAATACATGTATACAAGATAATATAGAGCAACAAAGCAACAAAAATAAATATCTTAAGTCACTGTTTGGAAGTTTATATATATATATATATTTATATCTATATATGTATATTTATATGTATAGCTTACTTTTGGGTAGGGTGAGAGCTTCTTTCATCGATGGAAACTTTGAGCAGAGAAAAGTGCAGAGCAGATTTGGAGGACTAAATCTTTTTTCTTTAAAATAAAGATCGTCCTCACAAAAACTGCCCTCGGCCCTTCAATCATGAGTGAACGGTGTGGCTGCGGAGGCTGAACAGAGGATGGTGGCAGACGGGAAGCAAACCCTCCTCCTCCACGCTTCTCTGATACAATCAATGCCTTGTGGATGCAGTGATTCAGTGGCCTGTTCTATAATGTTTTTTCTGTGGTCTCACTGAATGCAAGGTTCAGCTGATCTCTTCAGGCTCAAGCTGCACATCAGTCGCATCTTTAGCTACACTACGAACAGGGAAGGACCTGTGGTATTTTGGCTATTTGCATATATTAAGACGGCGTGGATATGTTTTAGGTTCTTCTTTTTTTTCTTTAAAAGCTGTGCATTTAGTTAAGAAAGTCAGGCACCAAATGTTATCTAGAACAGTCCTACTCAAAAAAAGCAATCTAGAGTATTTACACAACCCTTACCAGCTGCAAAAAATCTTTTTTTTTTCTTTTTTTGCAAGATGGCAACGGTGCAGAATTGACCTACAGTATCAGTACATACAGAAAGAAACAGTATTTTTTGTTTAAGCAGCCATATTTGTTTTACAAAAGAATACTTCCGACCCTCATAGTCAGTGGCACGCTATACCCGCCCTGACTGCTTTTTTAAAATCTTTGGTTGACCAGTCAAAAAAGCCTGATAGATTCACAATCCACCTTTTACATCACACTACTTGACTTCTTCTTTTTTTTAAAAAAACAAAAAATAAAACAGTTGCTAAAAAAATAACATTTGCACACAATGTCATTCCCTCTTCCTGTTCATGAGTTAACCCTGCCCGGGAGGTTAAAGTCGCCTCCCTTACCCATTGTCACACACAGCCACGCCTCATCCTGCACTTCCTCTGGTCCATTCTGGAGTCCATCCAAGATTATAAGCAAACGCATGCAAGCCGCGCACACACGAACACACTCTCAACACACGCGCACTCATTCTTTCACAACTACACACGCGTTGGCTTAAATGTGAAAGAGCAGGAAAAATGAAGCGATACGTAAAACTGAAAGCCGAGAGCGTCTGTGAGGTTTAAAAGAAAAGGAAGGAAAATAACCAAAGTTATTTTGAAAAAAAAAGCGTGAGGGGTTTTTGCTGACAGCGCTCATCGTTTCTGCGAGGTGATCATCTTCGAGACGAAGTTGACGATGGCGCTGGCAGGTTGGTCAGGGTCCAGCTCGGCGAAGAGGTGGCTGACGTTGTCTGTTGTGCTTCCCTGCTTACGCGCCACAAACCCGAACAGCCTGAAACATCAATATTGGAGATTTCGTCATTAGGGCTGCCATTTTCATTCATCAACGACTTAAAGCAGATTTACAGACACTTTAAGGTATTTTTGTAAATGTGTGTTTGGTTTTGTTTATTTAGTTTAATCTCTTCCGAACTGAAGCCATCGACAGGAAGTAGTTTTTGAAAATACATTACCTGAACTATTGCCAGGATGTACTTCATTATAATGCCAATAGTACCCTTAGTACAAAGTACTAAGTGAAACTGAAAATGTTTGTTCCTGCTTCCCATGGAGGTGAGGTTTTTACCAGTTACCAGAGTGTTATTACAAAAATTACCTTTTAAGTAGTTCACATTAGAGCCCCACTGACATAACAGCGGATAGTATCTTTGATGATATATCGTTATGTGGTTGTAACAGCCAACTAATCAAAGTTTAAAAAGGAAGGAAGAGATGGAAGTAACACCGACCATTGTGTTGATGTTACACAATCCACCAGAGGGCACTGTGTAACTTCTCTGTTTGCAATGTGTTTGAAAGACTACAAACACAAGCAGAGTGTGAACGAATAATCAGCAGGTTGGAAGAGTAAAACAAACTGTTTTTCAAACTTCAATGCCATATCATCTTAGTAAGGACTCAAATTACTACACGAAGCAACTGTTATGGGTGCGTCTGACAGAAACTAAATATCAGCATCGGTCAAGCTCTTAAAAAGAGTACTTTCAAGTATCAAATGTTGACTGAAAGGAAAGTTTACTTACTTGGCTGTTCCTCCCTCAGGTTTGTTCCATCTGAAATGATTTAAAAGTATTTTGTTTAAGGTCTTAATTAAACAAAACCAATGTGCTACTTGGACTAGCTGAAATCACGGGCTTTAAACACACTTGAGGAACTGAAAACAAGTCGCTAATATTGTTCTAAGAATTTTAATGGCTCTCTGTACTCACTTTCTGTCCTGAGGGTCTATATCACAGAACGTGACAGTGTTGGTAGGGTAATGGCGTCGGAAGAAAAGCCTAAAAAAAGATGTAAATGACACAAAACTTAAAAAGTGAAACGTCCATTCTGTGGAGTTGCATGTCATATACTTTTATACAGCTTTTAAACAGAGCAACCATTGATGATTTAGACTGATTTGGTCAATATGAACTTTAAACTCAGACTGTCCCAGTTATGCAAGGGTTCTACTTTTTCTCGTGTATCACTACACATCAGACTGGTTCTAAATTGTTCATGCCATCAGTATCAGTAAGCTATCTCTCTTTGTTAATGCTAGCATGCTTTTCCTGACAGCTGTGCATTTAAAAACATTAATGTAAAACTTGTGGAAGCTGAGCTTCTATGATAATGCTCAAAGTTCATGTTTTCAAGCATTCGAGTAGTGAACTTGAATGCTTAAAATCACTCTTCCTGTTAAAAATGAGTTCTTCTTCTCTGCCGTCACCAAGTGCTTGATCACAAAGTTGGAGTTTAGGGTTGCTTTGAGAAAACTGCTGCTGTGAACTACCACTACATAAATAAAAACTGAAACATATGATGCACATGTCCACCCTTTTTCTTCTGCTTATCTAAAGTGCTTTTGGTATGGCCACAGGCTAAAGGACAGTAAGACTTCCTTTCTCCCCAAGATCTTTTTCCATCTCCTCCCAGGGAATGTTGAGATATATAATCGTTCCAACAAATTCTACTGTGGGCTCCTGTCCCAGCTGGGTGTGCCCTAAAAAGCTCAAATGGGAGGTATCCAGGATACATCTTGTTAAGACGCTCAGATCACCTCAGCTAGCCCCTTTTGACACACTTTTGACACTGTGCTCCTCACAGTATCTCTAAGGGTGAGCACAGCCACTCAACAAGGAAACTCATTTTGGTCACTTGTATCAGCAGTGTCATTCTTTCTGTCACTACCCAGAGCTCGTGACCATCATTGATGACTGGGACATAGAGCCACTGGGTAGTCAAAACCTTGGTCTTCTGGCTTAGCTCTATCTTTCTACAACAGGCCAGTACGTCTGCTTCACTGTTCTCTAACACCCTTCCAAAGCTCAGCACCCAAATGTAATGATGATATGCAGATGTAATAATAGGGAAAGCTGTGAAATAGTTAATAATATAGTGTATAAAAATTCTAATACTTTAATTTTCTCTATTGTTTTGTGATTGTGTTCAGTTGCTCATATTCATTAATTCCAGCCCTTTAAAGACATGTTTATATCTTAAAATACGCTGAGATGTCAAAGGCTCGTCAAAAATATGTCTGCGACAACATATGACATGCAACGTCTACACTTGTGAGACATCAAACACCTCATGTTTAAGATGGGACAGGCGTGGTTTAGACTTACTTCCTCTGGTTGTCAGTGAGTGTGATGCCTTGTGAGGACACCTTGAAGTGCACAATGGTGGCAGTAGGTGGAGAAGCAGCAGCCAGTGTCTCAGATATGGCCTTAGCGACAGCCTGAGGCCCTGTCAGTGATTCCATCTCCACTGAGTTGATGTAGAGAACATTGCATGCTGTAAAGAGAGCAGACATCCCAGCTGGATAAATGGTGTCAAACCCAATCGTGAACAATCTGTTCATGCAATAATGTTGACATTGTCCTCATTAGAGTGCATGCTTTCTGCAACAAGGCTGGGGTTTTAGAAACCAAACAGATCATTCCACATAAAACATTCTGTCTGTTATGGAGCGCAAGCTGGACGCTAGTGTTAAAAGACATGTTCTGGGGAAATCTGTCACACAGGACTGTTATTTATTCGTCTTCATTTGTGGAGCATACACGGACAGACAACACACAGACACGATGCACATTCCAGTTGTAGGTTTCCAAATGAAAGTGCACTGGGTTTACCATGGGAGTCAGCAGGGGCCCTCAGCACTGGGACAACAAGAACGTCACGTTGTCAGAATGAGTGACATGACGCTGACAATTATGTCCAAGAACCTCAAAACTTGGCTGACTGTCTTGGAATGTTATACTTAAATATCCTAATGACTTTTAATACTGAGGAGGAGGTTTTACCTGCTCCTTGTTTCAGCCTTTCAGCCATCGGGTTTGCTGTTGTGACCTCTGGTACTTCCTCAGTGAGCTCTGATTTACAGGAGAGAAAGTTTAAAGTTTACAGTTTTGGGATGAGGACTCCATCAAGGGTCAGATTTTCAGTTCATATTACTTTTTTTAAAAAAAAATTATTTTTTTAACTGTAAAGATTTGCTTAAGAGTAAGACAGAAACACTTTTAAATGGAATACATGTTACACAGAACACTTATTTCACATACCTGTGGTGGGAATGACTAGTTTGCATGGGAGGGCCAGTGGTGTTATAGCATGTTGGTAGACCAATGCAGACAGGCAACCTGTCAAAGAGAAACAAGTTTTTATAAATGTTCAGCTTTACTTAAAGGGAGTTTTGAGTTGCCATGAGAAAGTTTGTGGATTTTTTTTTCCTCATATAACTGGATCAATTCTGCCGCTTGGTAGTTTTCTTCTTAGAGTGCCAAATCACAACAACAGTCAGCCCAGGGTGCTTTATATTGCAAGATAAAGAACTACAACAATGGAACAAAAACCCCAACAATCAAATGACCCCCTTAGAGGAAACACTTGTTGACAGTGGGAAGAGAAAAACTCCCTTTTAACAGGAAGAAACCTCAGAACTGGGTTGAAAAGTGATGGGGGGAAGACAGGTAGAAGAGAGGCAGAGATCAATAAGAACTAATGATTTAATGCAGAGAGGTGTATAAACACATAGTGAGTAAAGAAGAAACACTGCAGTGCATCATGGGAAGCCCCCCAGCAGCCTAAGCCTATTGCAGCGTGACTAAGGGAGGGTTCAACGTCATCTGATCCAGCCCTAACTCTATGCTTTATCAAAAGGAACATTTTAAGCCTAATCTTAAAAGTAGAGAGAGAATCTGTCTCCTGAATCCAAACTGGGAGCTGGTTCCACAGAAGCTTCCAGTTTGGGAGTGTTGCTTTCTTCAGTTATAACGACCATCTTGACACGTGGTATAGATGACCTGTAGCTGGTTAATTGTTTAACAAGATTGCTGACATTAGGTTTTTATTATGGTGACCCATATTAAAATTATAAATAAAGAGGTAAATGTATGTGCAGGTAATCCCCCCTGAGCATTTTGACCAGTCTGAAGCATGAGCTTTTGACTCTTATAGTGACTTTTTCTTGTAGGTTTTCTACAAGATAAGCCCTATTTAGCTGCTTTTCAAACCTTCTGTTTCCATTGGGCAGCCAATCTGATGAAAGCTAACTTAAAGGGAGGTGAAGGGAGTTAAAAGGCTTCTTTTAGGGAGTGTATGAACTGAGGGGCTGCATCATGGCCAAGGATTACTGAAAACTACTCTATTAGTGTCGAAGAATACACATTTAGATTTTAAATTAACCATAATGGATCCCTCGTTAACTAAATTCAAATTTGGAAAGGGGCTCAAATTTTCAACTGACACACAAAAGAGAGAAAGCGCTCGTGCTTGACATTTCCTACAGACTCGTTATGTCACTGCTAAGCTGTTAGTGTATGTTTTAGAAATGAAAGACAGCAGCAAGAGTGCTTCCACTAACCAAAGTAAGGCTCGTTGGGGCAACCTTTCAGCTTCACTCCTTTAGGGCTGCTCTCGATCAGGAAATGCCTCACCAGTTCATTGGTGATGTCACCTGCAACAAAAGAGCCAAGCAGTGCGTGAGTCCAGGCGGGTAATACACCAGCTGAATCGCATTCAGACATCGCCTCATATCTTTGGTATTAAGGTACTAACATTCATGCTGCCTCCAACAAAACAAGAAGGGCTGCACTAAACACAGAAGTAGTGTGTGTACTGAATATTTGGCACATTTGTAACTGCTTTGATGTACTGCCCACCGTCCTCCCCCTACCTTTCTTGTTCGGATGCACAGTGGGTGGAGGAGACGCCACCTTCATGGCTAGGCCATAAGCTCCTTTGAAGGAGTGACTGTCCCGGATAACAAAGGCTCCGGGCTCCCTGTCCTTCAGCAGGCTGATGGCTGGAACACAGAGAACATTGAGTTACTTTAGAGCATCAGGAATCTGGGAGGTGATACAATAACCTACATGACAAGCCACAGGTGCAGCAGGGCTGCGGAGTCGGTTTATGGACCGACTTAGATGGATTGATGTTCCAACACTCACCTCAAGATAAATTAAGATCTTTTAACAAATCTTTAAACAAATTTCCCATGTGTGGGACTAATAAAGGTTATCTTAACATCTACTGACTGTTAATCTGACATCATCAACAAGCCACATTTCATTTGTGCCTTTCTCAACAACCAAAACTCGAATGTAAAAACTCCTCGGCCGTCCGTTTCTGATAGCATGCTGTTGCTAGCAGCTCTCAGAACGACTCGCCTGTGCCTCATTATGGCCTCACAGATGAAATAACAGTCGCTCTTTAATTTTGCTGGGTTCAGATGACACAACAAAGATGTAAAGCAGCACCAATCCAAAGATTTAGGGTATAATGGATAAGAGAGAAAAAGCTAGTAGTCTTGGGTACAGTGTAATGCATGAAGTGATACATCGGCCAAAGGACAAGCAGTCCAGATCTGTCCTCTTAGTATGATCTAGTGTTTGTTTAAATTCTTGTCTTTAGTTGTAATTCTCTGGCACCTCCTTCCTGATTATATCAAATAGGGGCAAAAGGCAGCAAAGCCAGATCTGCTCTGTGTTTATGTAGAAATGTATGTATCCTGGCCAAAGTCTGCAAGAATCTTTGAGCCTACAGTCACCTCATACCACACGGTGACCATCTTAAAGTCCTAAATGTCATACAGAACTAAGTGAACCTGGCATTAGTCTTGTTATTTATCTATTACATGCACTTTCCTCTGTGTTATGTCAATAAGTTGTAACAAAGCTCAGTATTAGATTACATTGTCGATGTGCAGGCCCCTGGCAGGTTGTTGTTAAAACATGGAGAAACTGCATACTACAGTATACAAACCACATGTTACACAATTATGGTTAGAAGCTTTATTTGTTACAATAAGTACTTAACAAAAAGAAATGCATTTGAGGGAAAGAAAAACTAGACAATTTGTCCACAATGAAAAACCTCTTTATTATTCCACCAGCTAAATTTAGGTGATGGAATTTGGAGGTCGGAAAAGTCATTAAAGAATGAAGGTAAGCCAAGGAAGAAGGTGGCATGAAGTCAAAAGTGAAGCATGAGTAAGAGTAGGATGAAATGAGTCCTGACCCTTTGTTTAAAAAAAACAAAAAAACAAAAAAAAACCTGCCGTTGGTCTGCACTTTATTAGAACTACAACTTCTAACATGACACTTTGCTTCAGACACTCCATTGTTCACAGAGAGGAGCTTTAGAGCTTTAACTTCACTGTTTAGTTCAATGCCCAGGCCTGTCCACATGTGACAGTTTAAGCAAGGAAGATGGATGAGATGAGCAACACATGCAGATGTTCCCTAATTCTCTGCATATGGTGTGGCTTTCTTTCTGGGAGTGCACTGCACTAAGTATAAACTCTCCGTGTGTCTGATGTCATCGCAGTTGAGCATATGCTTATGTTTAACATGATATAATCCATTACAGGCCAGTCACTAGCTGCTGACCTCACAGCTAAAACACAGGAGGACAGAAATGTTTTGTGTATGCTGCTGCATGCATCGTCAGTATTGTGCATATGTGTACGTGCATTTATCAAAAGAGATGACGTTGCCGGGTCCAGTGACTTACATCACTGACATTCAGAACAATGACTTGAGTTTCAACAAAGACTCCTTTTAGTGCAACTCAAAGGATTCAGAGTAATACTCAATTAAACCATGCAGCCCAAGTCATTTCTATAATATGCTCTGTATGTTCACCACAATAACGTTTGCAAAAGTACTGCTCACAACACAGCTGATATGTTACGCTGCTAATGATGACAGCTGCTTCTGTTCCTTAATGTTTGTCTAAATGTTTAAAAGTATGACATAAATCCACCCACTTGGATGGATCTATATTTGATTAATATAATAAATGAGGTCTTTTGACTTCCTACCTTGCTCTCTGGAAATGTCAGGTTTGTACCAGAACTTGGACGTGTCTTGAACAAACTTGACGTTCAGCCTGCTGTCGGGGCTTCCATCTGCAACAAAAATCCAAAGATGTAACAGGAAATCACAAAAATATATCCTCTTTGCCTTGACTGTGAACTGGATCGGCCAAGATATAAAACGGATGTCACCCCAAACACTCGAAACTCATTTAAAAAAACAAAACATCAATGCTGATTTGTGGACTGCTGTTTTTGAAACCCTGACTTCACCATAGTGGTGCCAAACTGTACTAATTGTTTAATTCTAGAGTTAGCTGGCTAGCTTGCCAGCAAGATCAAGCAAGCAAATCCATAGTTTACTGACATATTACCTCGGATGCTAATTTTGCACAGTTGACAGTTGATCAGTTTAAATCCGGTTTGTACTTTTCATTTTTCTGGTCAGAGTCTGGAAACTTTTCCATCGCACTTCTATATACAGTTTATGGAATGAACCCCTTAAGAATCCATAAATTGTATGTACTTACCAGTCATAGTGAACCTTGAAAAGTCAGAAAGTGTGTGGAAGTAGCTGGGATTGCCTCCTCCACTCATTGTGGGCATCATCTTCCCGTTCATCGTGCCATAGGACAGCGCTCCGTTTGGTCTATCGCCGCTTGACATGCGCCTCTTCTCTGGAAGCTGGGGCTGAAATCCAGGGGCTGGACTGCCCTGCCTGAACCCTAAACCCATCCCCATCATCCCTCCATCTTGGTAGCCTGCAGGTGAGATGGGGAATGAGGGAGTTGGTGGTCCCTGGTAGCCCGAAGAACTGCTCTGTCGTGACAGGTTCCCATGTCGTTCATCTGGTGTCGTGTAACCACTGTGCATGGGGTGACGGTCTAAACTGGGGCTTCTCTGGGACATCTGAGAAATGGAGGGGTGACGGCCCAACACCGGACTTCCTTGAGCCTGTGTGATCGATGGCTGTCGGCTGAGCACAGGGCTGCTCTGAATAGGCTGACCGAGGGACGGCTGTCTGCTGAGGACTGGGCTCTGTTGGGGCCCTGGCCCCATAGCAGCCTGCCTGTTGAGGACTGGACTGCTCTGCGCTCCCTGAGATGGACAATGACCGAGGACGGGACTGCCACTGAGACCCGACACGCCCACTTCAAAGCCATTAGCTGGTGATGTCTGCTGGCTCATGGCGGGAACTTCCTGATTACTACTGGGGCGCTGCTGGAGGACGGGGTTGTTAGTAGAGCCAATGATGTTGGTCTGGATCTGTTTACTGGGGCTTCCATGGCCGAGTGTGGTCTGAACTGGTTCTGAACTGGGCGGGTTGGGATCTGAGGATGCATAGCTTCCTAACAAGGTGCTGGGACCCAGGTAAGGTGGTGTGGGTGTTGCAGTGCCAAGGTAGGAGGAGGTTGGAGAGCTAGAATCCAGGTAGGATGAAGTGGGGGTATTCAAGGCTTGATATGATGGAGTAGGAGTGGGGTAGGCACTCTCTGTAGGCTGGGAGCGGAACCCGGAATCAGTAGTGGGTTGGGACGGAGTGCTAACACTGCTCTCTGCTACAGGGTGATCGCTGAAAGAGAAGCGAGAGAAGTAAATAAGCGTGCGTAATAATGCAGTATAGCTTCTCACGGAGGAGTACAAGTACTCAAGGAGAAGGCTAAACATGACTATAAGACAGGCCCATCTTACCCCGGTGAGCTCTGTATGGGACTGCTGCTGGACAAAGGTGGGTTCAGTGTGTGAGTGGTGGTGGGACTTTGACTTCTCTGCTTGGTTGTAGCATCTCCCAGCGGAGTAAGGCTTCTATGTGATGTGCATGGCTCTCCTCCTGCCACTGCTGACTTGGCGACAGACTCCACATAGCTTCTTGGTGCTGTATATGAAAGACACGCCTAAATAAGTAAAAGCTCTATACTGGGTTTCTGATTTTCCAGGGTGGGGTGCCTCATTATTGTCCATAAGGGTGATAAAATGCAAATAATAGCCTAAAGTGGTACTTAAGACCACTCCGAAAAGCAGCATACTCTATTACTTAACTCTGATGGCAACTAAAAATGGGAATGGCTTTGCCGAATGTGACACGTGGACGGAAAAAGACTAAATATGTTGAGAAAAATGGGGTGGAGAGGGTTAAAGTGAATGATGATATGTGGCATTATACTGGAGCTCTTACCTTCCTCACCCTCACTGCTTTCATCATCTGTGAAGCATCATTGGGATAAACCAAAGAACAAAATGTTGTAAAAGAAACAAAAAAAAAACCAAGACGTATCAAGGGGGTTGGAAACTTTAGTGTTTGGTGTCTTTAGGGAAAGAAATATTAGCAGCAGTTAAATGTTGTCTTGTCATTTTTAACCAAACTCCTTTTATTTCTGTTTCTCAGCTCATCTGAACTAAAATGTATGCTTATAAAATGATCTTCAGTTGTATTTATATACGTCATTAGAAAGGAGTGGCAACTTGACTCTCATTTATCGATAACCAAAGGTGTTTGCATCACCAGAATCTGAAACTGTTGCAACCAACCTGAGCCTGTTTGATTGAGGAGGATTTCTGCTGGGTTGTGGGGCTTCAAACCCAGGGCTGACAGTGGAGTCTTGGCAAGACCAGGAGGGGAGCGACCTGAAGAGATACCAGACATTTATCACCGCGCACCATGGTACATTACAGACCTCTTGACAGCTGCTACCTGCTCACACAGTTTAACACTAACTCATCACTGGTTTTAGAAAATTATGAGGCAATCTAATTAACTTAATGTTTAAACCTATTAATGTTAAATTAACAGGTGAAAAGCTGTCAAGACACAGTATTGCATTTCCATCAATTAGCACACACGAGTGCAGTGTTTAGAAGGTGCCCATGCCTCATGCTCTGATGGAGGGGCAAAACATGCATGTGACCAGTAACGGGGTAAAACACGAGCTTAGACAGTCTCTGCTGTACTGACACTGGAGGGAAAGATAAGAAGAGGAATATGTTACTTCTTAGGCTTTAGCCATTAGACCTGTGTTACTCTAACAACAAATATGTAATACTCCTGTTGAGTCTTTCCAAAACATTACCTATCTTACATCTGTTTTTTTTGCAATGCCCACTTCTCTTTTTTCCCCTCCAGCCCAAATTAAAATAAAATCAAGATAACAGAATTATCAGATCAAGACACTCTAGCTGGGTAAGACTGACAGGCGAAGGGAGGCAATGCAGTGAAATAAGGCAGCAACATGACCCCAAACACGAATGATAACAATATACACTGAGAGCAGCAGCTCTAGAGAGTGTAAAAGTTCATGATAATGGCTGTGCTGTGTGTGTGTGTTTGAGTCTGCATGTCCTAATCTGTAGAGTTTTAACTGTAGGTGCTGCTCTCGTGTGGTTCTCATGCCAAAGCGGTGCAGGATTGTAGTACATGGCGGGTAATGGGGGCGAGGGGGTCGTTATGGCTGACGTTGTGGGACAGTGGAACTCCGGTAGAGCCGTGCATCCTCCACTTACCAAAGAATCCTAATCAATTCTTTGTACTTGAGACCCTGATGTGTCACCTTTAATCAGTGGTTTTGGTGTGTGTGTGTCTTTAGAGCGAGGGAGGGACAGGTGATTTGAAGACACACTACTCAGAAGACAGCTTGGTGGGAAATAAATCCGATGTCACGTGCGCTCATCATTTAGCCAACCATGCGCTTTCAACAGGTTTTGCAAAGGACTTGCAAAACTGTTCTCAGTTAACTGGTAACCAGTTAACACCAGTTTGTGCACAGCTGGAGAAAAAAAAGTTTTCTGGCCCATCTTCATGTTTTTAAACCCAGTCCAACTATTTTTTTTCTCCCTGTTTCGCAAACATTTAGGTTTGCTTTGTGAAAAAAATGTGCAGCTCCGTATGACTGAGACGTGTTCCTGAGCAGTGTTCCTAGTTTAAGTGGGAGGAAATATCTTCGGCCACAAAATAAGTGTTAAAAATACAGTGTCTGCGTTTTATAACTAACTTTTATGGGAGTGCCCAAAGAGGAGATACGCAAGAGAACTGGATGAGGTAATTGGCAGAGCTGGCTAAGACACTGTTATGTAATGCATGACCTTTTTTGTTGGGTGTGTGAGAGACTAAGAGGGGGTAGATGGATGTATGTGGATATGCTTTTCAAACTTATATGCTGGTTTGTCTACATAGGTCTTGTCAAAAACTGTAACTGGAGAGCATACTTTGCTAAACAAACCTCGTGTCCTACTGAATTTGATTTGAAACAGTTGGTGGGGAAGATAAACAATCCAGTGTTAACTGAGGTCATAGATCGAGTGTTAAGTTCACACAGAATTCTATATGTTCATTTTGCGACCAGGAGAGTCGCCATCTGCTGGCCATCAGAAAGAATGCAGGTTCAGTGCTGGATTAAAAAAGGCTAAAAATAATCATTTGTTAAATTCCAGGATATAAATCTTGAAAAAGTAATTACACCTGAGCTCCACAGTGCCCTCTGTCAGCCGGAGGGGGGACTTACATAGGTTGAAGTAAGGGGTTTGCGGTGAGACGGGGAAGGCAGGGGTTTGGGGAAACACCTCACCACCAACTGTGGGTGTAGGACTGATGTGACCTCCTTCCAGCTCCTCAAAGGCCTCTCGATAGCTGTGCATATTTTTCTGGAGTAGGAAAAGAGATGAGATGAGAAGAAAAACAGAAACTGCCATCGCTGGTGCAGAGAAAATGTGAAAAGCGTTTTCTACCTCCTTTGGCCGTCCACCGGGGTTCATCGCTATGGCGTTGACAAACTCTGGTGAAACGCACCGAATAGGAGAGCGAAGTGGGACATCAGGAGACGTACTGTCATCTGGTCCGTTCTGGTTCTGGCCTTCGCTGGTGATGCGACGGCGGGGAGCAGCTGTGGGCTCATCCAAGGATGACACACGGGCCTGGACGCCTAAGAAAAGCAAGTGAGTGTTACAACTTGGCAAAAGCTTGCTGCTTCTCTTTTATCCGCCTTCACTCCATCACTTCCATCAACGCCACCGAATGTTAATGGTTGTCAGCTATCTCTAGTGCTCAATGCACAGGCCACTGTGTGTGTTTTGCAGACAATCAAACCAGGCAAAGCATCGGCAGGAGCCCGTGGTCCTTTCAAATTTAACATGCACATACAAAAAAAAAAAAGTTAAGAACGGATTAGCTGCTCATCAGAAGAAGAAGCCGGAAGGTCAACAGCGTTATTCAGAAGAAACCCACACCATGTTGGAAATGTGGCACACAGAATGATACTCCCGTCTTCTATGCAACAATTCTTTAATACTAGGACAAAATGTTCTGTTACAAACTCTTTGATGTGCTGGTGCAAACTGAATGTTTTGGCTGAACTTCAGAGCAGCCAATAAGCTGATTTTTCCTAATCTCATTTGAACTGAGAGGCAGAGAGAAAAGCTAGCAGCATAAAACAAACAGGATTGGAGTAAAGAGGCTTTTTGTATGCTAATATTCAGCACTGACTCAAAGGATTGAGGTAGCAATACCTGAAATGCTGGCCAAAGCAGAAAAAGCCAGTGCCAAAGATTAGCACTGGCTGCCCAGTGCTTTGAAACTAGATGGAGGTTAATGGGAGGAAGTGAAAAGAAGGAAAAAAAACATTAAGAAACAAAGAGGGTAGTGGGCGGATTATAAATGCTGTGATGGTGCTTGTTCTCAGGCGCCTGTTTACACTTTTTAACAAGTATCTTGTTTCAAATTTTGTCACCAACTCTTCCCCTGCTTCTACCTTTATGTTTATTTATGCCTCTAATTCAGACCTAAATGAAAAGATGCCTTGTACAGACGGAATATCCTTACAGGGAGATAAAGTTTACTTCCTTTTTTTTTTGGTACGTTTTTAAAGTCAGCACTAACCAGCGAGCCCCAACTATTCGCAGCCTATGTACATGTTCTATCAGCCACTGGAGCCATCCTTTTCTGGACCATTTTACACTGCAGCTGCTGGCAGATCATCTTCTGCTCTGGAAATCGGGTGTGAGCTAACCAGAACCCAGAACCTGCAGCAGGTGTACAACAGGTTCACAGAGACTGCAACGCAAAACAAAAACTACCAGCTGTCATTCAAGACGGTGGAGTTGGACTCTGTCCACTCAAAAAGCTGCAACAGAAAATAATGACTGTGTGTGTATATATATATATATATACAGCATATAGAATTCCTTAATTGTTATAAGAAAGCGTGCACCACCCTGCTGCAGATTCTGTGGGAAACGCTGGTGTGACCGAGCGCTTCTCTCATCCTAACACTGGCAGATGATTTTGTGGACATCTTGAAAGCCTGACTGTTGTGGAAACCTAAAAATATTGATATCCCCTTCACTCGGCTCCACTTTGAAGTGAGACAAAAAAGATTTGGCCAAATATCTTAGGAGAAAAGTTGGAGATGTAGCAGTCAGACAGTTGGGATTAAAGTTATCAGGCACTGCTTTTACCAAAACCTGAGATGTTAAAAAGAATTTCCTGTGAGTTATCACCAAAACTGAATAGAACTTTCCAAATGCCTGTTATTAATTTATGTATATAAGTCATTCATCAATTTTAAAAGGCAGAAATCGGTGCCGGCGTAGGTGGAATGCCTCAGATATTTCAGCACTGGCCAAAATCTTCATCTAGACAGCTTTAAAAGTATGCAGTCTACACCCCCAGAACAGAAACACACCATCACACCGAGCCTGGAAACTGACAACCAGATGTACCCATGATACACTGCTCTACAGCGGAGCGCTGTCAAACACCATGCCGTTGCCTTAGCGACAGCTAATAGTTTCCAGCTGGGGCTGCTGGTAATCCCTTGAACTGATTTTTTTTTCTCTCATCTCCTATTTCTGAGCTTTTGAAAGTCCAACTATATCATGGCATTGATTCGAAAAACAAACTTGATCGGTGATCCTGTGGCGTGCTTTTTCTTTTCTTTTAAAGTGAAAAACGCCGTTTCCATATGTGCACCTCTGCAACTAAGAAAGGGCATTTAAGGCCAGACTGAGCAGACTGTATTACTGGGAAAGTGTTCAGATCAATAAGAGAACTGAGCCGTCTTAATGATCTGCACTTTTGCGTGACATTTGCGTGAATAGTTCTGGGAGTTTGTTGTATATAAATGTCATGGCTGTAAATATGATCTCAGAGATTATTCCAGTTCTATCCTAGATCATTTTAACATTTAACTGTGATGTAGTGTTGCATCACTGCAAAGGATATTACTGTCTGTGGTGGAGAGGCCAGACTGACCCCTTACACAGAACAATCCTGTCTGCATTGTGGTCACTAGTTCTCAGGGGACATATAGCACTTTAGTGATGTTTCCAACTAGGACTGTGGTCCCTCTTTTACATTCGGTGTCTTTTGTCTGGCTTTGTAAATCTTGAAAGTAGCACAAGAGAAAAAACTCAGCCTTGAATGAGCCCAGTGTATCCTGGCCTCGGTATTGTTTCCCAAGTTTGGCAAAACGGATCTTGTGACATGCACTCTCCTGGCAAGGGACAGAGCCTCCTTTGTGCTTCCTCTGTGTCGTTCTTGTGAAACTTTAACATTATCCAATTGAGGGTTTTTTTCCCCTTCTTTTTGCACCACAGTTGGGGCGATTCCCTAACCTTGAAGAAGAAAGCAGCTCAGAACAAACATAGATGAAGTGTGAGGGTGTACGAAGAAAGGAATCAGTGGTTAGTTTGATGATGATGCACCTCAAACCTGATGATGACAGAGAAACGTATAAAAGGGAGGAAGTGGAATAAAAAGACAAAATGAGCAGATGGGGGCAGTCTAGTATTAAACAAGAAAAATGGTTAAAAATGCAAACCAAAGCCCACATCAGTCAAAGGCAAAGCAGATACAGACTCTGTTTGAAGCAACACTTGCAAAAGAAGAAGAAGAAGAGGGGATCTCCTTTCTTTCTTTTTCCTTTTTTTGAAGTGTTCCTTCAGACAGGATGGGAGAACCAACCCGAGAGGGAGTGAGAACGGCGGTGCTCAGACTGAGAAGAGGTCATGCTGGGGATGACACTTTGGACACGAGCCGAGTACTCTGGGGTAAACAGATGAATGATGAAAGAAAGAAGAATGATGAGGAAACTGAAAAAAGGAGATGGGGGATGAGGGGTCTGATAAGAACAGCAGAACGAGGAGATAACAGACATTTTCTGTTTGTATAAAAGATGCTTTTTCCTGAAAACAAGAGTGAATCACACACACACACTAAAAAAACCCAGAGGTAACACAATGTTACCTTCACAGTCCCCAAACAAATCACATAAGTATATTTCTGTTTTAAAGAAAGTAAAAGGTATTTTTAACTCCTGATGTTACAAGAACAAAAACTACCATTTTGTGCTCCTTAATGTAAAAAGTGTTCTACATTCAAATGGCAGCAGAATGAAGTATTGTTGATTCTGGAAAGCCTCATGTTCGCTATCTGAGGTCATGGCTATCGCACTTCGTCATGTTGACTTTGTTCAATTTCTTGCCATTCTGCAGGATGTCTCCCAAGCTTATCTAGGGATAGTCAACCTGCTGGACTGGAGAGAACCCTTCCTGTTTGAGCCTGAGTGACGGGGACTGATGATGTGACATGCAGGAAATGAGATAAGGGCTGAACAGTGTTTTCCAAGAGAGATGTGTATACAGTGCACAGATGATGGCATCAACTCTACTCATCACTACATTATTCTACATTTGCTGCCAATTATGAACTAAATGTACAGTGACGGTCATGTGAATGAGTTTCCATCAGACTCCTTGATGTCCTGTAAAAAACTAACTACAGCCCGCGATTAAGTAATATCTAGACCCACCTTTAGCAGCAATAGGTTTAAGTAATTATTTACTGTGTGAGTTCATTAGTCTCACACTTCATTGTGGAGGAATTTTGGCCTGCTTTAGTTCATTGACGTTTACAGGAATTCATTCTTGCACAGCCCTCTTAAGGTCTCACTACAGGAGTTCAATCATGATTCCAAAGGTTCTGTGGGTGCAAAACAAGCCAAAGTCATCCGCCCTCTCCCACTGTGCTTCATAAATGGTATGAAGCTTTTGTTGGTTTTTGCTCGACATGCTGCCGTGCATCATGGCCAAATATCCGTCCAAAGGACATTGTGCTAGAAGTCTTGTTGTTTGTTTAGATGCAACTTTTGTAAAATCACGACATGCAGTGATGTTCTACCCCCTAATTTCCCATAGAAGCAGTAAGGGGGCATTTATTTAGGACTGCAAAGTGTCCTGTAAAAACTTTTCACGTGACTGTAACGGGGGGGCTGTAGTAAGAGAGTTTGGCTTAGTCAGTTCTGTGCCAGTCCTCATGGTAGAAATTTGGACAATTTTGTAGAAGGAGACAATGTCAGCTGCTGAACTCTTTAGTAAAACAGTCTCTACATTTTAGAAACGGTATCTGTCAGCTGTATATAAAACACTAGTTAAAGAGCTTTATGACACATAGTAGAAAATAAAGTAATGCTTTTTAGACAGAAAGCTCATCTTATTTTTTACTTTCAAAGACATCAACAGTTTGCTAAATTGGAAGTATTGGAGTATAAACTTCCACAGACTGTGCCACTTCAAGCAATTTAGTTTTTGTTGAATGTCATATCAAATTGACTACTTCATGGTTATCGTGGCTGAACAAAAATAGAAAGTAAGTATTATTGACACACATAGTTGAATGTACTGTAGGTCAAGTTCAGTGCCCATACATCAATCTGTAGTAAAAATGGATTTTAACGGGGTTTTTTTTTTTTAACATGCCAGAAAGAATACAGAAAGCTGTCAGATCATATAAAGCAAATACCTTTGAAGATACAACCTGCAGCATTATCATAAGTTTTAAAATCTATACATATATAAGGGTCAGCATAAAATAAACTGTGTGATCTTACCAGCCACTCTTTGGGCCACCAGACCTTCAATGTTAAAGACCTCATCAGGCTCACTGTCTCTTGGCTGGGGTGATGCTGAAGATGCACTAGGGCTTTTCTGGGGTTCAGAGGCCTCTGCAGACTGGGGCAGCGTTGTTGGTGGGTAAGTGTTGACTGTCTTGATCTGGCAACTTACAGTGGGGGAGGCTTGTGAGGAAGTACTTGTTGAAGCTGTTCCAGAGGTGTAACTCGGAGATCGTTGGACAGGTGCAGGTTCTGATGCACTAGGCTTCACAGGCGGTGATGAGTGGCTGGACATGGGGCCTGAAAAATGGGTGTGAATGGTGGAATCAGGCAGGTAGGAGGGCCTGGTTTGGTTCTGAGAAAAGGATGGCTGTGTGGTCACTACAGCAGAGTTTTCGCGCAATGGAGCACTTTGGGACTTTGTCACCAGCGAACGGCCTGGCTCCAGGTCCAACATAAGGAGATTAAGAGTTTCAATTGATTGCTCAATCTCTTGTTGCGAAGCGCTGTGGCGATGAGGGAACTGTGGCAGGCTGTGGTGGCTGGGCATGGTTGCAACAGTGGGAGGCGGACTAAAAGTGAGGCCTTCAGTTACTGGCTCTTCTGGCACTCCGAACCGCTGCCAAACATTGAGACCACGCTGGACGGCATCCCTGCTACTAGTGGTGCGAGTGGGAGCTTGTGGCATTGACTTTAACTCTGCACCAAAAGACTGAGAGCGGTACAGACTGCCATTCTGAGTAGGCATGTAACTACCAGAGAATGGGGTAGAATCACTGTGGGGCAACGTGACAGACTTGCCAGATATGCCAAGCTGTGGTTGGACGGTTTCCAGAGGCTTTTCTGGGACGTTGCGCTCCAGATATGGCACGTGGTCCTGACCATTGATAATGGACTCAGACTGATAGTAGAGATCAGCTGGTGTAGCCCGCCCATCTGTGGAAGAGAACGTCCCAAGGCTGTCAACACTGTTGCCCTCTTGACTGGTAGGAAGCTCATCATCTAGAATGTCGGTCTCACGGTCAATGTTACCATGCCCATTAACATGGACCTGTGCGGGCACCAGGTGAAGCATCCCTCCAACAGCGGATGCTGGAGCTGATAGGAAGGCCTGTCTGTGCATGGGCCCCTCCAAGCCACTCAGTAGCTGCTCTAGCTCCTTTTTCTCTTGCGGACTGATAGACTGTTGGGCAGGTGGAGCGTGTTGATGGACCGAGGGTAACTCCTCACCCACAGGAATGTGTGTCTGGTTCACTGTGGAAGCCGGAGGGGCTGCTGTTGCTTCATCAGTTCGGTCGGTTTTGATAGAGGCAGTAGAGTTTCCTGAGTCGCTGCTCACAGACAAGGCATGGTCAACCGCAGGTAAAGCATGTTCAATAGCAGAGGGTGGAAGGCCGTTTGATGTGACTGCTCCGTCAACAGATTCTTTTTTGCGTACTTTGGCATAGAGGCTGCCATCCAGGGGTCCTTGGGTATGAATGACTTCTAAAAACAAAAGTATGAAAAAGCATCATTAGAATCACATTAAGCCAAATACAACAATTAAAGATGCCTACATTTTCCACAAACCTTCAATTTTCTGTTACCCAAGTATTTTTAGAGCCACAGCAATTTGCACATTTATTTCTGTAATTGTTAATCTTCAAAATATAAACACATGGGATTCATCAAGACATTAAGAAGAAGAAAAAAGTGTGAGGAACTATCAGAGATGCTGGACATCAAGAGGTTCTGTGGGTATAGCCAAAGCAGCTGCAGTAAAATTAAACACTGGCTCGTGTCCACCTATTCTACCAGCTTCAGGAAATGAGCCGGGTCTGTGGCATGTGCTGTGGAAAAAACGATGAAATCACGAGGGTCTGCCTTGCACTTTCTCAAGCCAATTGCATTAAATGTGTCACCTGAGAAATGCTGGCATATCAGCAGATGAACTGGTGGTTAACTTGTTTTTTTATGATCCCCAAAACCGCAAACATGATGGTCTCATATAAAATAAATAGATCTCTATACACGGCAGATGTAACCTGCTGAGTTGTTTCTGCATAAGCCAAGATTGAAGTGCCGCTGCAAACAAGCACAAACACGTGCGCACACACACACACACACTGACACATTATATTGTAGATCCAAACTCAGCCACAAGTCTAATAAAGAGGAAGTAGGGTGCCCTAAACAGAAAATTTTAGTCATCACTGGAAAAATCTGCCTCACTGAGTAAGGAAGTCCTGCAGGCTTTTTCTGGCCTATGCAACTGAAAGCAAAACAACAAAAAAAGAAAAAAGGCTGAAAACACATGTGTATTTATACACATGAGCTTACATGCTCGCTTTTTCCCCTCTCTCATCCAGCCAACGCAGTAGCCCAATGCCAACTGAATTAGCAACATTTGCATGTGATCCGTAACAGGAATCCAATCTTCAAGAATGTAATGCCAACAAAAATCACGACCGACATCCTGTAACACCATTTACCGACAGCTAAACACGCTTCAGGAGAGTAAAGAGGGAAAACGGTACCTTCTCAAACAATTCCTCTTCCACTGTCTATGAAAGTTCCTCACTCATAACGCATGAATAGGCACGCCCTGATAACAAAATCAGATTTTACAGCTGGAAAAGAAGCTGCACAAAGACGCTGTCTGTATCTCGGTACCTTATAGAGATCTCCATCTCAGCTTTAGTGAATACGGGGCTCTGTAATGGAGCTCAGTGGGTGTATACAAGCCAAGTACTGCAAGGTCTCCCTGACTGGCCAGAGGCAACTTGCCAAGGGAATGGCACACTGTCAGGGTGCTGGTGGAAACAAATCTGGTGGCTCCTGGTCACAAAAACATCGGTTTTCTACTACTGAGCCGCTAACGAGTTCGGTAGATTTTTGGGGCACATGCAGAGAGAAAGACGTTATGGTAACCACTGTTATAGTGTTTCCGATATGGCCCGCTGCAGATTTACAGCATTTGGAGGCTTATATTTGATGTATACAGTAGCAGCAGTTAAGTCAACTCACTGTATCAATACTCACGGCTGTTGCCATAGTTACTACACACAGTACATACCAATTAGAATAAGTGTTCAGACTTCTGGTGGTTGTTATTCTGTATTATTCCCCTAAGTCTCTACTGAAAAGTTCACTTGTAAAACAGGACACTCCAAATCAAGTCATCATGACACATTTATGTAGCCCATGAAACTACTTGGGTATCAAGTGGGTATCAACCTATTTCCACTGACATGAGCGCACGCACACATACACACGTGTGTATATATATATACACACACACACACACACACACACACACACTTTTAATGCAACAGTCATGCCGATAAACATAGACATAAGTCATGAAAGAAGAGCCCTCCTCACTTTCTCCATTTCAGTGCCTTTATAATCACCTGCCCAGTAGCCAAATGTGACGCCAGCACAGCTAATTTGACATCCTCCCTGCCTCAGCTACACCACTTTAACAAGCTAACTCAAAGTTAAGTCACAGCCTTGTCAAAGGAAACGGCGGAAAGACCTTAGCAGGAGGTGGTTCCCCTACCTGTGTGAGCAGAGGATGAGAGTACAGTCCCAAACTAAGCTGGGAAAAGCCCTGCAGAGTTGCCCCCGGGGTGGGACATGAAGGATTACAGCAGGAGTTGGGGGAGTTGGTTTTGGCTACTGTTCCTGCTCCTCCTCTCTTTCCTGAATACCTCGCTGTCTGCATGGAGAGCGACTGCTGCTGTTGCTGGCTGCTCGGTGGCGCGCACTAGTCTAAAGGTTGCCTCTGCTATGTGTGCGCATGTGGGAGGTCTATCACAACAGGCTGGCTGACGGTTTATGTGAGAGGTGGAGGGTAAGGGGCCACTGAATTCCACTGTATAGCGTTTGATCAAATGACATCAGTCCCTTTAGGTTCTCTCTGAAATGTATGGCTTGTTATGAGTTATGGACATTTATATTCTAATACATAATATATTCCATGCCAGTTAATGTTATAAATAGAAGAGACAAGCTGAATAACATATTCAAACATCCAGTAATATACGTAGAAATAAGCCATATTCATGCACACACAGATGCCCATCCCTCAGTCCATCAGTGTTGAAAACACTCGTGTAATGGAAAGAGCTACATCGTCCAACAGTCATTTAACAAGCACTCTCAAAGCTAGGAAGCAGGGAGCAAACTCCACCCTGGTGCAGGCAGATGGAGAAAACAGAAAAGCCTAGTGGGTAAAAACAAAAAAAACCCAGAAGAGCAAATGCTGATCTGATTTATGCAGTTACTGTCCAGCTAAAACAACAGATAAAGAGTGACGCAGATGAGTCACAGTAGCTGTTTGTTATATCTTCTAACCCCAACATGGGAAAAGTGTGTGGTGCATATCACCTAGCCATTTGTATTTATTAGCATACTGGACAACCACTTTATTATTCCACAACATAATCTAGAATAATGGACAAAAACCACATGTGTCACTCTGACTGAAAATAAAAAACGTTATATATCCACATTTTATTGCTATTCAGTGGAAGTTGGACTACTTTGAGTGGCAGATTGTCACCAGTTCCCATCTTCCTTCCTCATATCCTTCCTTCTGGTCTGTTCTTTGAGTAATGTTGATGATTGTACTGATTGCAATGACTCCAGCTGTTCCACTGTCACATCCAGTAAAAGCCCAGCATAGTCATCCCTCTGCTTGTGTCTTCACTTGAGACACGACGTGACTGATCGGCATGATTTGTACTACAGGAAATCTAATCTGTCACTTTACACTTGTGAGACTTTTCTTAGCGGAGCAGGACTATTTATGTTGAGGCTGCTTCTGTGTGTGCTGCTATGTCTGCTGTTTTCTTTTGGTTGAAATGAACCAATGGGAGCTTCTACAAATAACCTTTGACAGGGCTCCTTCATTTGCTAAGAAAGGGCATGTGTACGTATGACGCTCCACACTGTGTGTGTCCACGCTGGTGTGTTTTTATATAATCCCTAGGAGGTAAATACTTGCTCAGTGATCCCGAACACAGTACTTGGAGGAGAATATCTGCAATCCAGACCTCTTAGCTTTAACTAATTATAACGCAGCAGGAGAGACTGGACCAAGTGTTACCAGTGTGGAATGACCAATTAGTTTACATCCGCTCCATTAGTGACAAGACTGAGTGTGACAAACCCTTTATCATGTAATGCTTTAGGAAAAAGGCCAGCAACCAGACCAAACACAACAAAAACACCATCACTAAGAGATACAGTAGAGTCTACGATGTATAGTACTGTGCAAATGTCCTAGGCCTGTCCTCTTTTCTTCATGTTTTGCTTCTAAGAAGCTAGACCTTCTTGTCATTTTTTTTAAATGATCTTAATAGTAGTAGTAATACTAATAGTTGTCCAGGATTTTGGATGATCTTTCAAAGTTTTTCTTTGGACATTGTTCCCAATCTTGAGTATATGAAAAATGCTGAAAAGATAACACAGTTTGACGGGTATAAAATTGTATGTTTGCGCCAACAATGTAATTCAGAAAGAGACAAAATTGTAGCACATCTCGGGATGATGTGCAGTGTGTGTGTAAGAAATCTAAAGCAGATGAACAGTATCTGAAAATTGTGTTTCTAAGAAATAGGCTGATCCAATGAAGCCTCATCAGAAGTGGTCTCAGTGGCTGTGAAGAAGTCATTCTTAAAGAAGGGAAACAGGAAGAAAACGGCTTGGCAACAGTTTCATCTTTCAGAATGACAATGATTCCAAACACATTGCCAATGCAGTAAAAGCATTCCTAGATAGGAAGGCACACAGCGAAACACTATCAGTTATGGACTGGCCTCCCCAGAGCCCGAACCTCAAAATTATTGAAGCAGTTTGAGATCAAAAGATGGCCAACATCAAAAAAAGAGCTCTAAATGTCCTTCAAGAAGCCTCAAGAAGACTACTCAAAGAAAATACAAGAAAGCTGTCTAAGAGAGTTCAGGTTGTCTTGAAGAATTGACTTTCACCCCCGTTAGACCTGTACAAAATCTGTTTTTGCCTTAGATACAGTATTCCCATGTATGTTTGCACATTTCAGTACATTGCTTTATCTTTTTCTCCACTTTCTTCTGATAAGTATGTAGCTCAATATTTTTTACAGTACCATATAAAAACAGATAAATGGATAAAAGAAACTGAGAAGACTTGTAGCTAGAAAATGGTGTCAGATATTTTGAGGTTCTGTGGGCCAGATGGTGCAACTGTGTGACCTCCTAATCTCTGAACTCTGAGCTATGACCTTTGTGGCAATTGACCCTCCCTCTTACAGCATGTTTCTCCTCAAGCTTACAAGTATAAACATACATGTGGCCGTCTTGAGAGGAAAAAAAGTGTGTGTGTGTGTGTGCGCGTGTGTGGGCACTGCTGCCTAAACCAGACAGGATGGGGTAGTCCATGTTTTCTGACCCTAAAGGTTGCACTAATAAAAAGCAATGACAAAACGATTTGACAATATATTAGTATAGCCTGGTGCCATT